AAGTTGAGGCTTTCTGCTCCCATAGAGATTTACAGTCTCAGAAATCCTGTACAGGGTTGCTATGAGTCGGAACCAACTCCAAAGCACATAACCACCACACCACCACTACCACCACAACATATGATTAGAATGTCATGCAACTGCAAGCTATATAAAACTTTTTATTCAAAATAATAGTAAAGTATCAACATAAAAATGAATTTATTATTTTTAGATAAAGGTAACAAACTGTATACATATACCTAAATTTGCTAACTCCCCAAATCTCTCTACAACTGAACTAAAGAAACCTGTTTAAAAATATAAGGACAGGAAAAATGGGAGAAAAGATACCAGTATATTAGAAGATGAAAAGTACATGGGCTAGTAGCAACTGATTTAACAAAATCAAGGAAATCAAACTCTGTATGGGTTTGTGGCTACTACACTGAACAGAACAGGACCAAACCAGGACCTATTTACTTATATCAGGATACCTGCAATTCTATTTCAGATCTACATCACTTCTAGTAAGAGACTACAAATTTTCAATTTTACCAGGTAAATTCTATCACAGAGCTAGAACCTAGAGATGTCAAGAGAATCGTGGATTCATATATTCATCTCTAAAATACCAAGAATGGTATATTTTATTTTAGGAAGTCAGGATGAAATTTTACCCAACATTCAACATGAAAATGCTACTGACTCCTAAAATCACTCCCTGCAGGTCAGAGATTGTCCCTAGACAACAACCATGTTTTGATAGCCTACTAGACTTCTTCACATATACAGTCCACAGGCACCCTTATGAATTCAGCAGATATAAAACTACACTCTCCTTCTTCGTTCTCCCTCAAAATGTGAGTTTCTCCTAACATTTCCCATCTTGGCCAGTCATACCTATACACCACCAGCCCAAACATCTGAGATTCCTCTCCTTTAACTGCCACCAGTTCTAACCTCTGGGGTTGTCAATCCTACGTCCTGTCAATCTCTGCTATATACATGCAACTTATAGAGCTAAAGATACACATTGCAAGAAGTGAGGATATGCACAAGTTTGTGAGGGTGCATACCAGGACAAGGAAGCCAAATACAAGAACAAGAGAAATGATAAGTCTATTCCCATCCTACATACTATGAATCAGATTCCCCTCAGGTGGGCTCAACAACTACAAACTCTCAAAGTGTGAGTGTATTGCTGAACTGAGGTTAATTCTAGTAAAACATATGTCTTTCACTATACGGCGCCCATAAACACAAGTTATCTTGTGCGAGAGAAACTTCCTCCATACGGGAGGAAAGTTCGTTTTCTTATAGTTATTGAGAGATGCTATGTTGGTGTCTTATATGGAGCCTTTCTTAGAGACTTTCATGGATATTTTTCACTGTGAATCATTTTTACCTTGCACATTTTAAGAACATAAGCCCTGCATAAGATGTAACTCCCCTACACCCATTTCTCCCTATTACCATTGCCACAGTCTTAATTCAGGCAGTCATCAGCTTTCTTTTGGATCATCATGAAAACTCTTTGATAGCAGTCTTCTCCTCCTAGCCATTCTTTCTACAATCAAACCATCTAATTCTCCAGTCTACAGCCATAACCATGCATGACAATCCAACACTCCCATTCCCTGTCATTCCCACTTCCAGTAGGCCTTTAGGGGGTTAGTAGTGGTCATATGCAATGAAGTCGGTTCTGACTCAGAGCGACCTTGAATAGGGTTTCCAGGGCTGTATATCTTTACAGGAGCAGAACGCCTCATCTTTCTCCTACGTAACAGCTGGTAGTTTTGAAGTGCTGACCTTGAGGTTAACAGCCCGACTCATAACCACTATGTTACCAGAGCTCCTCATCATCACCAAACTGTTTCACTGTGACTATCTGCATGTGCTGCTTGCTCTTTCTTGGCACAATTTATACTTTCTTCTGAAAGTATCACTTAATTTCCACTCAAAAGCACTGGAATTCTCTAAAATATATGAAATATGAAATATATTCTGTTTGAGCTCTGAGCAATTCAGTACTGAATAAACGAGCACTATTTTCATCTGACATCTGCTCAAACCATATGCCTAGCTAACCATAGAGTCTGCATACCTAAGCCTCACCGGAAAAACTTAGCAGCAATTAACTCATCATGTTTGCCCTATACTTTCAAGCCCAGTATGTTCAGGTGATTATTCAGAACAGTAAGACAGCACAATTTTGTGAGCAACTTGTTGTTAAGTGTCATCAAATTAATTCCAATTCATAGCGAAGCTGTATAGGGTTTTTAAGGAGCCACTAGAGGGTTTAAAGTGCCAACCTTGTGGTTAATTATTGTTGTTGTTAAGTGCTGTCGAGTCAATTCCGACCCATAGCGACCCTGTACAGGATATTCAAGAAGCAACTATGAGCTTGAACCGCTGACCTTGAAGTTCAAATGGCTTCACAGTCTGGTGCATTAACCCACAGCACCATACCAGGACTCCCAGTGTTTATCCTACAGTGCCACACCTGGACTCCACTAAGGGACCCATAATTTGGATCTCTTGGATTTTTAAAGCCAAAAAGCCTTTACATGATATAGCAGTTGAGTACATGTTTTCAATTAATTTCTATGATGTGGCCACATTCTGCCTTGGTCCCCTTCAAACTATTCTATCAGCCGAGGACTGACAGCACAAACATGAAGGAAATGTACTATTTTTAGCACTTCCTCAGTCACATCTGCATGAACCTGACTGGCAGAGTTCACCACACAATATATAGAATACAGTATTTGCTTCTCCTTTGATTTAATAAAGTCAATCATTTTTAATTTTCATTGCAAGTTAAAAATGATCAACTTTAATAAATCAAAGGAGAAGCAAATATTTCAATTTTGGTCAATGAAGTTTACTTTTTCCATGTTCACAGTAAACATTTCTAACTCCTTCCTAGAAAGTGGTTATATCGTATGAGCTTATATGGGCTAGCTAAATCAGCAAAAATTATTTTAGTGAAAATTCCCTGTGGGCTATGCCCTTGTGTCTGCTTTTGGTCCCAGGCCTTCTAATTAGAATGTGACTGATAACCCCTGGTGAAGCAATCTGGGAATGACAGAATGATGTAGCTTGGAAATGAACCTTGTCTTCAAACTATCCAACAGGTAGTTATGTAAGTTCTAGAGAAGGAAAAATGCTAAATCTGACAGGTTGGGGGAGTGGGATTTGTTTGGGCTTTAAAGACAAACTCACTTACAGTTTCCTGGCTCTATCTGGTTTTATTTAGAAAATGCTGTCCTGGTATGGCACTGTAGGATAAGAATTGGACCCCTAACCAAAAGGTCGACAGTTCAAACCACCAACTGCTCCTCAGAAAACCAATACAGGGTCCCTATGAATCAGAACTGACTTGATGGCACTTAACAACAAAAACATATAGGAGTCCTGATGTGGTACTGTTGGATAAGCACTGGACCACAAGGTCGGTTTGACTCACTGGTCGGCAGTTCAGACTCACCAGCCACTCCCTTGGAAGCCCTATACAGGGTCACTATGAGTCAGAACCAATTTGACAATAACAATTGGCACTAACAACAACATAGATAGATGCAAAGGATGGGAAAATACACAAGAGTGGCCTGTCAAACTCAGTATTCATACTTGGCGATTTCTAGTTGTAAATATGTAGCATCTTCAGAAACTACCTTTAATGAATGTTAAATCTATAGATGAAATTAATTACCATAATAGCCTGTAGTTAATATATTTTAAACTAGAAAATTCTACTGAACACTTCATATTCTAACAATAGAAATAATTATATAATTGGATCTTGGGCCATTTGAAAATGTACTTGTATGGGAAAAACCCAAACTAAATTATATAATAGTTTATGTTACATGAAATTGCTCTCTATAAAGACAGCATTTTATATATGCAATGAATTTTAACTTAACAGGATAATTCTCTGGAATGAAGTACATAACTGTAAGAAGAATATTTAGAACAGATCCCATGATCAAGAGAAATTTCTTCATTTCTCTGTAATATTTCATTCTGTTTTAATAAGAGGAATTAAATACCATGACCAAGACCACAACATTGCTGAGTTTTATTTTATAGTAAGATTTAAACTCAGGGAAAATAAACTTTTACTCTGTTTCCTCTGTTATAATAATTGGAAATAACTAAATCTGGCTGCTGGAAGTTCTGATGTAGCACGGTAAGAAAAGCACTGGATTACAAAACAAAAGGCTGGCAGTTCAAACCCACCAGCTTTTCTTTGGAAACCCTATACAGGGTCACTATGACTCAGAACTGACTCGATAGCGCTTAACAACAATAACATCTGGATGTTTTATAAAGAGATTCGATTATACAATAAGTTCACCCAAATTCATTCCTCCTACCATCTTGCTTGCTGTTAGATCTCTGATTTTGTTTGGATATTTATCCTCCTAGGGTCTAGGTGATCAGAGAGGATACCCCTTACCAGTCTCAAGCAGAGAATCTTGATTAACCTAAGTCAGTCAAGGTAAATTTAATCTCCCTACTCCCTCACCCCACATGCTAGTGACCTGATTAGGTATGGATGGATGAAGCAAATCTACTGGGGAAGTTTCTGGAAAAGGGTTTCTTAATTCTTTAAAAATGATACTCAAGAATCAATTTCACTTCTTCCATATCTAAATGCAGACATTTGAAGAAGTGATGCTAGAAACTCTGACAGCATCCTGGCACCTAAGAGGAACCAATAAAAGTAAAAGATGTGAAAATGGGATCCTTTGTGATATCTCTGAGCTGCTGAATAACCCACCATGCAACCACCCAACTCTGGCCTCCTCCTTTTAGGAGATAATAAACCATTTTTACGTTATTTTTGTTATCTTCTATTATTTGCAACAAAAATAACTTGATTCATATAAATATCTTTAGAAAGAGTGAAAACATCCCTTGAGAAGAATATCATCAGTTTAACATCCCAGCAATTTGGAAGTTCATGGTTCTTTTTCGTTAATATATTCCTCTTCATTCCAGCAACTCACCATTAAAAAATAATGATCCTCAGGTTCTGCTCGAAGATATTTAAAAATCACTTGTTCCATGAACCTTTCCATAAGATCCCAGTCTTCAATTATACCATGTCTTATTGGCCACTGAAACAAGAGAAACCAACAGGTCAAGCTTTAGCCCACCACAGTGGACGAAACAAGATGGGTACAGAACAAAGAACATGTGTTTTCAGGAGGGGGAGGGAATATGCATTTTCATGAAATTTGTGTTATTTCATATGAAACTATATATTTTTTTATATTCTACTTTGCCACACCATCTAAGTACATTTCGGTACAATCAACTGAATAATGGAGGGACAGATTTTAAAAGTGCATATAATCTGTCATATAATTCACTTTGAGAGTTGTAGATGGGCACAGGATAAAGGGCCAGTTAATCAATAAATAAGACCATGCTTTCATAGTCTGACTATTAAATTAATTCAAGATGAAGCTACTAAGAGTATAGAGTTTGGAACCAGATGGACTGAGTGTAAATTTCAGTGTTGTTACTTACTAGCTGTGTCATCTCAGGCAAACTACTAATCTCCCTGCAGCTTAATTTCTTCTATAAAATGGAGATCACAATTAAATTCATATGCTCACAACTTAAAATACTACTAGTACCAAGGAACTTAATAAATATCTTTTTTTAAAGTGGTTTTGACAGTAAGACAAAAATATTAGGTACTATGAAAAATATGAGACACTGTGAGACAACAGGTAAAATGAAATGGGGTTCTAACAAAAGAAAGAATTTACTCAAAAGAGGGCAGAATGGATATTTTAACAACTTACAAAATAACCTCTGGTGGTGGTAGTGATGGTGATGGTAATGGCGGTATGCTGTGGAGTCGGTTTGACTTATAGTGACCCTGCATAGATAGGGTTTCTAAGGCTGTAAATCTTTACAGGAGTAGAAAACATCATCTTTCTCCTGTGGAATGGCTGGTAGTTTCAAACTGCTGACCTTGAGGTTAGTAGACCAACTTATAACCACTACGCTACCAGAGCTCCTTAAAATTACCTTTACCATTAAATCATTTCTTTCATTCCTCTACCCCCACACTATAAATACTATTGTTGTTAGATACCATCAAGCCATACCAAACTCATCCACAACAGAACGAAACACTGCCCAGTCCTGCACCGTTCTCACAATTGTTATCTTTCTACTACTATGTCAATCCACTTCATTGGGGGTCTTGCACTTTTGAACTACCTTTATACTTTAGTAAGTATAATATTCTTCTCCAGAGACTGGTCCTTCTTAACATCTCTGCAACATAAGAGACAAAGTCTCGCCATCATTGCTTCTAAGGAGCTGGTCATACGTCTTCTAAAAAAGATGTGTTCTTTCTTCTGGTAGTCCATGGTACTTAAAGTATTTGTCAACACCACAATTCAAATGTATCTATTTTTCTCTGGTCTTCCTTATTCCAGCTTTCTCATGCATTTGGTAATTAAAGATATTATTTTGGGGTCAGGTGCACCTTAGTGCTCAACATGACATCTTTGGTCTTTAACACTTTAAAGAGATCTTTGGCAGCA